ACCAGAGAGAGCAGACTCACTAGCACCTAGAGCAGCAGCCTCTATACCAGGGTCATACGGCGCACACAAGTAGCAGTCACCCTCAACACTAGTAGACAGAGCATACATGCCAGCAATGATAGCATCAAAGTCTATAGCAAAGATAACAACACCAGCCTTAAGCAGCTCTGCCTAGCGAGCCAGCTCATAATCATCGCCCATCTCCTGACGCCAAGCGTCGTCTAGGCGGGAGAAATAGCGGTGCGGGGTGTGAAACTTGCCGCACGCGAGCACCTGTGTGAATAACGTACGAGCATCGACCACCACCGCCCCTAGACGCTGCACGCTGAGCAAGCCACTCACGAAGCTGCTGGGGCGAGAGGGTCTCACGCGGACACTGCTGCTGCTGCCGCTGAACAACGCCAGAGCGATCACCACCGCCGCCGCTGCCAGCACTCCCGCCACTACCAGTACCGCCACCACTGCTCCCACTGCCACCACGACCACTGCCACCACCACCTCCACCGCCGACGCCATCTCCGCCGCCGACGCTCCCACTCGCTCCACCACCACCACCGCCACCTCCACCACCTCCGCCACCCCAGCCACCTCCACCACCACCACCCCCCCCCCCCCCCCCCCCCCCCCGCCGCCACTCCCACCACCCTTGCCGCCCTTGCCCTTGCCGCGGCGCCGCTTCCCACTAGGAGCAGAAGCAGCGCCGACCTCCTCAGCACCAAGGAAGTCGACAGCAGCGGCAGAGGCAACAGAGGGGGCAAGGGGGGAGGGGGAGCACCCCTCAAAGAAGGGCGTGCGAGGGGTGCCACGGGTAGCACCTACAGCGACTATGTTAGGGTACATTCCTGTATGGACACAAATGTCTCAATCCCGTCATAAAACCAATGTACCGGTCTGCACCGCATTACACATGAGAATCAAACATTTCCACCGCACTGCATCTCTTCGTTTGAGACGCGAGGCCTTTGTGACGCGCTTCAGGAATGTACCCTTGGCCTCAGCTGCAAGAAGGTGCTTCTCTTGCAGGTCAACAGTGAGGTCTGTGGGAGGAAAAGCCAGACTGCACTAAGAGAGTCAGGGAGGCGGGTCACTATAAAGTGGAGAGTGATGTAGATCGGGGGCTCGTTCTTGGGGAGAAAGTCGTCTGGGAGGTAGTGCGGTAGTGAGTGTTCATAGCTCGAAGGTGGGAGAGGAGGTCGTCTACCGTGGCGAACGAGGACGGGTCGGGGAAAAGTAGGGTAGGAAGAGGCGACTAAGGGCTGCAGTGGCAGGGGAAGAGTAGCGTGCAATAACAGCATCGTAGAGGGCTTTACCTGTCTTCGCCTGGTCAAAATGCTCGCATTCAGCTACTGGGAGGTGGTTGCGAATGGCTAGGCGAGCAGCAGCATCACGGGTAAGCCACTGTGAGCGAGTCGTCGCATCGGCTGAGGCTGATGGGGCAGAGGAGGCACTCTTCGCTAGGTCATAGAGTGAAACACCGTCCCTAGCGTCACTCAATAGGTACAGCTGCAGGTCCTGGAGCCAGGTGTCGAATTTAACTGGGTGGCCGCCAGAATCGAAGAAGTGTGCAGAGTAGCCATAGCTGGGCGGCGTAGTAGTAGGGCAGGGCAGATGCAGCGCAAGGGCCGCAGAGACTGCAAGCAGGCAGGAAGGGCGGCTCGCGAGGCTGCAGGAGTGGCGCACGGGGCAGAGCAGAGGCAGCGCGAGGGCTGCAGGGGACGGGCGCGGGCGGCGCGCGGGGTAGGGCAAGGGCAGCGCGAGGACTGCTGGGGCAGGGCGCGGGCTGCAAGGGCGGCGCGCGGGGTAGGGCAAGGGCAGCGCGAGGGCTGACGGGGCCAGCGTGTGGCCGGAAACAGCAGCGCGCGGTTTGCAGGGGCTGCGCGCGGGGCAGGAAATGCACGGGCAGGCGACGAGGGGGGGGGGGGGGGGGGGGGGGGGGGGGGGGGGGGGGGGGGGGGGGGGGGGGGGGGGGGGGGGGGGGGGGCAGGCGGCGCACGGGCGGTAGGGGCGGCGCTTGCGTTGCGAGCTGTACTAGGCAGGGTAGGTCGCGGGGTAGCGCGGTAACCGGTGGGCCCGAAGAATATAGCCGGTCCTACGGACCTAGCGCGGTACACCCGATTGGGACACATCGATTGGGACGCATGTCCACAGCGGAATGTACTCTTACTATGTTGAAAAAAGTGGACTAGGAAGAAATGGGGTACAAATATGCAAACCCTAGAGGGGTTGTACCCCTTATTGGCTACAACATATAGTTTGACTGTCAGAATGTTATTCTCTAGCCTGTAGTGGGGTGCTCTGTAGCGAGTACAACCCATCTAGGGTTTGCTATATGTATCCTCATTGCTGCTAGTGAAAACCCCTCTCTTCTTTTGCCTAATCTGTCCCTTGCCTAGCTAGGACTCTCCTAGCTATGGCTCCTAACTCTACCTACTATTTCAACATGGTGTCAGAGCATCTATGCTCCTGGCCTGTGGGCCCCACTGCTGCTTCCGCTGCCCTACTCTGTGTCGCGCGCCCCGTGGCGCGCAACCTTCAATTTTTCATCCCGCCGCGCGCTCGGGGCGCGCGGCGGTTCTCTGCCCTCTGTGTGCCCCGAGGCGCGCGGCGGTTTCCTACTGTGGGGGAGCCCGCGCGCGCCCCGCCCGTCTGTCGCGACGCCCTGGGGAGCCCGCGAGCGCCCCGCCCGTCCGTCGCGACGCCCTGGGGAGCCTGCGAGCGCCCCGCCCGTCCGTCACGACGCACTGGGGAGCCCGCACGCGCCCCGCCAGGTCGTCGCGGCGCCACTGGGGAGCCCGCGCGCCCCCCGCCTGGCCGTCGCGGCGCCATGGGGGATCGCGCGCGCGTCCCTCCCGCCCGTCCTTCGCGGCGCCCTGCGCAGCAGCGCGCGCCACCCCCCCTCCACCCGCCCACCCGTCCGTTCTGGCGCCCTGGGGGTCGCGCGCCGTCCCCCCTCACCATCCCCCGCGCTCCTGCCCCTATCCCACCCGTTTTAGGGTTTCGGGGGTGCGGTGTGTGGGGGTGGTGGTTGTGGGGGCGTCGGTTGTGCGCGCCATCCCCTCCTCCTCCTCCTCCTTCGTCTCCCACTGCTGCAGCTGCCGCTGAGGGGGGTGGATGTGTGGGAGCCGAGGGTTTAGGGTTTTAGGGGGGTGCCGTGGGAGTGGAGCTAGGGGTTCAGCAGGGGGTGTGTGTGAGAGGGGGTGGGACTATTGGGGGAGGTTGACTGGAGGCTGCCGTCTTGTCGTCAGCAGCACCTGTAGTCCGGGGCGCTGTCCTGGTAGCCCAGTCGTAGCCAGCTGTGCCAGTCGCCCGTGGGTCCGTTGCTCCTGCCGCTCGTCTTAGCCGCGGAGCCAGTTACTCCAGAAGTCCGTGCCGATGTTCCGGTAGCCGCTGTGCCAGTGTGACTCCTGTCGCCCGTGTGTCTGCAGCTTCAGCCGTCGCCTCTTATCTCCTCTCCTCTTACAGTCTCGCCTCCTCCTCCTCACTTGCCCTCTGTGACTGTCTCTAGCTTTGCTCATAAATTGTGAACCACTGCTACCGTCATCGCCCGGATATAAGACATATATGTCTTATCTCGTACACGGGAAAAAATGCTTGAGTTATCTTGTAAACGGGATGCTTTAGGGTGTCTTATAAATCTTATAAATGGAAACTTTTTAAACTACTTAGAAATATTTTCCGTACTCCTTGAAAAAGAGTTCCTCATAATGAGGGCATGTTCCTACGGCCCCTTATCAGGGACACCTCATATCAGCTTCGCATTTTTGCCTGGTAAAATTCGCTAAGGTTTTTGGGTTTAGGGAAATTTCAGTGTGTTGTGACGCGAGCCTGATAAGAGGTTGGCCTGATAAGGGGCCATATGAACATGCCCTGAGTGTGGATGTTGCGAAGGTGCCACTTCGGCAACCACTGCCCGGGACGCCACGTCATGGAGAACACCTGCAGAGGCAAATTTGGTAGGTCCTGGGTCAGCGCGTGGAGAAATTCGCGCTTCGCAAGGGTAAAAATGTACGCGTTATTTCAACTTTCGCTATAATATATTGAAGTTTCGATTATAAAACATATGTCTTATCTCGTACACACAAATAGGTGTCTTATAATGAGGCTAGCCTGTTTATAAGAGACACCCGTATAGTAGACAACCCCTGTCTATTATTCAACACTGTCTTATATCTGGGCGTTTACGGTATGTCTGCTTGTTGTGCTGATTACACCCCACCTTGGCTATGGGGGTGTGTCAGAATGTTATTCTCTAGCCTGTAGTGGGGTGCTCTGTAGCGAGTACATTCCATCTAGGGTTTGCTATATGTATCCTCATTGCTGCTAGTGAAAACCCTCTTCTTTTGCCTAAACTGTCTCTTGCCTAGCTAGGACTCTCCTAGCTATGGCTCATAACTCTACCTACTATTTCAACATTGACAGCAGAGTGCGCAGTAAAACGAATAACGAGAATGGCACGATTAAATGGAGGAAAACCTAGCTAGATGGCTCAGTGATGGTTTCTATTGGTGTGGGGGGCGACTCGGGAGTGGTTCGACCAACGAAATACGGTAGGTTGAACAGGTTCTTTGCGTGACCCTCGGGATGTACTCGCTAAGTGCTGGTACAGTAAGGAATTGTGCTTGCTTACAGGAATGGTGAAAAAGTTCCGTACAGATTGTAAGAAAACAGGGTGATGTTTTGATTGTACGGTAACTTTGAGCACATGCTCTGTTTTGAGCATGTGTTTAAAAATTATAATATTTGTGAACAGGCTGTTAACAATTAGCTTGTACTTACACCTCCTGCCATTGATCAAGTGAACCATAGATGATATGGGCAAGGTTGCAACAACTAAGAGTAATATTCGTGGCTCTACAATATCAGCAGATGCATGGTAGAAAGGATCCACACCACAATCCCGTCAAGATAATTGATTCCCCAATCATGGTGGATTCTACTGAATGACAGGGCTCAAATGCAGGGAAAGAGTATGAACCTAGATCCTGAAGTCATACTACTAATCAAGCATCTGCCTTCTCCTCGGTAGCCTCGTCCTGCACAAACGAAGCACAGAAATCGACAAGATCATGAAATAAACCAAGACAACGATAAAAAGAACCCTGGTGGTTACAATAAAGGATTGACGTGCACGCCTATCCCGATTGAGTTCGTACAAACCTGTGTTCCTTGGCTAAGCAAATGTACTGATCGGCTTACGGACCTGCATGTCAGAAGTCCAGAGTGTAAGGTTGTCCCGCAGCAGCTGCATGATCAGCGTGCTATCCTTGTACGAGTCCTCTCCCAATGTGTCAAGTTCAGCAATAGCCTCGTCGAACGCCTGTGAAGAAGTACAAGGGTAAATGATAGAATAAAGAGATAAGACAAGAGTGAGTAGGGGAGAGAGACGGAGGGAAGAAGCACGACAATATGCACTTCTAACAACGGGGACAAGCAAAACACAAGTGTCTTACAAACGCAAGGGGACGAGCATGACAGAAAAACTCTAACCTGCTTGGCAAGGGTGCAAGCGCGCTCGGGAGAGTTCAAAATCTCGTAGTAAAACACGGAGAAGTTGAGAGCAAGGCCAAGACGGATCGGGTGAGTGGAGGCGAGTTCAGCATTGGCAGTTTCCTGTAAAGGGCAAGAGGGAAACGAAACATGTGGAAATGATTGAATCCCACAATGGGTCAAGATAATAAATGGTCTGGCATAAACACAACAGCCTTGACTGGCAACCAAATGAAACAGCGTTCACGATGGGGAACAGGAAAGAAGTATCCCCAAACGTAGGAATAAAATATGGGACAGGCTGATAAAAGGCGTAGAGCATAAACCTATCGCATGCATGGCAAAGGTCACATACCTGAGCTGACTTGTAAGCAGCCAGTGTGCTCTCAGCAGCATCCTTTCTATCAGCTCCAGTCTTGAACTCAGCGAGGTAACGGTGGTAGTCGCCCTTCATTTTCAGATAAAACACCTTCGACTCAGCAGACTGTGCAGCCGGGATAAGAGTGGTGTCCAGAAGAGACAAAATACGCCCGCAAACCTCGTCGAGCTCCTTCTCGATCTTAGCGCGGTACTCCTTAATGACGGCTACGCGGTCTTCATGTCCTCGGCTCTCCTCCTTCTGCTCGATCGACGACACGATGCGCCACGCTGCACGACGAGCACCAACGACGTTCTTGAAAGCGACGGAGAGAAGATTACGCTCTTCGACGGACAGCTCCGCTCCGTCAGTCATCTTAGCAACTTCCTCAATGGCTTCCACCATTTCGTCATAGCGCTCGGCTTGCTCCGCGAGCTTGGCGCGATACACATTATCCTCACGCGCAGAACTCATGGTAGCTTAAGAAAGTACGAGGATCTAGATCGGAAATACTTAACAGGCTTTAGCACCCTCTGTTCAAGAGCGGTGGACACAAACTAGAAAGAAACAAACCTCAGATGTGATCGACAGGCAGGAGGAGAAAGGGAGCAAAACCTCGCAGCTTTGGGGTGAAGCACCAAGGAGAGCAGGGGAATATAGCCAGCAAGGCTGATGGGGTTGGGGGAAAGGTGGTGATGGGGAGGGATGGGGTGGTGGCGTGGTAGGGGAAGGGTGGGGAACGGGGAAACGGGGAAGCGGGGGGGCGGGACCAGGGGTGTGGGGGCGGGAAAGCGGTGGCGCGAGAAAATAAGGGAGCGGAAAGGCGGGCGGGTGGGAAAACGGGTAGCGGGGAGGAGGGTGGGCGAGTGCGGCGGGTTGGGAATTCGGGGACGGGAAATATATTTGGTACTGATGGGGGGCGCTGAGAGGTTGATGGGTCCCTCGATTGAGGGTTTGTTCCGAGGGGAACAGCCAACAACAGGTCTGGCAGTGCGGGGATTGGATGGGGTTTGCACCCTAGGCATGTGTGGAGGCGCAACCGCGTTCCCCCTTCCTCTCTGGCTCAACATCACACGGAACGCTCGCACGCATCCGCCTAAGGTGGCGGAGGAAGATTGAACGGAAGTGGCAGATGCAGAGCTCGAAAGTCGGCCGTTAGATGCGCCACGAACGCCCACAAGCCGAGAACGTGGATCTCTGGGGGAACTGAAACACCGCTGAGAGAGGTACACTTAGGGCGCGTAACCATTTTGCACCCGACGGTTCGAACCGTGGACCGTCCGGGTGGCGAAACGGTAACAGTTTCCGAGCTATGTCGTAAGCAAGCTCGCTAAGGTGTTGGCGACATCGCCAACAAAACGGACAGTCGTGACACTTTTTCCCATTTTCTACGGTCCGAAATCTGAACCGTGGACAGTCCGAATCTCAAACGGACTGTCCGAATTTCGTTGCATCCGATTGGTGCACGATATAAAAAATCTCGGGCATCTCGTCCACCAACAAAAACATGTGGTGGGATTTCTCAAATTTACATTGACCAACCAGAGACGACTCGCTTAGAGCAATGATTCGTCAACGAAAAACATGGAAATCGTAAATCGCGTAACGCTTGTACAGTTGTCGCGAAACTGTACAATAGAAGAAAAGTGTCACAACTGCCTTCGGACAGTCCGAAGTTGCAAATTTTCACTTCGGACGGTCCCGTTTTCAGTAAGTGGACCGTCCGCTTCGTTTTAAGCGGACTGTCCGTCAAAATTACAAAATACAAAATGGTTACGCGCCCTTACAAATGAAACGAATACATCATTGCGTTTTATTCACGTACACTCCTGAACTTCCTTCGCCCTAACAATGTACGTACGGTTATTTGCAGAAACTCTACCCGACCATCTGGCTTTCTAATTAGACCGCTCTGAATCAGGTCCAAACCTTTTTCAACCTCGGACGTATTCTTTGGAACCACCCTGATGCATACTTTCGGTAATTGGTTGGACGTGAGGGGAGATAGAGAGATTCCACGCCTGTCACCTTATCCCTGGTGTTCATCATTTGTCAAGGATGACGGTAATTGAAGCTACACACAATCCCTGGATACCGTACGACTATAGCGTGTATTTGATGTACTTGTGTCCCTGGCTAATGCCCGTAATCCAAACTCAACCACCATCCGCTGATAAAAGTAAATTGAGTGGGAAAACCAACTTTTATGAAGCTTAGGACAGCATGCCAACAATCGATAGAAGGTGCAGCATGGACTCACATTCATGATTTTTACAGCTCTTCTTTTCGACTGACTTCTATCGAGACAGCTTTGCCAACCCCCGCATCAACTGATCCAGAATCATCCCTCGCTTTCTTCTCGTCCCTTACCAGCAACTCCTGTGCTTTCCTCTTCACATTCTCCAATACTGCTTCTCCCGCGCCTGCTCCCTCCACCATCACACCTGTTTCGCCTCCTGATTACATCACAGCCACTGATGCACCCTTTCCCTCATCATCATCATCATCCCATTCCACCATCTCATCCATATCGTCACCATTGCCACCTGCATCAGCACCAGGCGCAGTAGCAGCATCAGCAGCACCAACAACAGCACCAGCAGCACCACTCGCAGCAGCACCTGCACGAGCATCCGCAGCAGCAGCAGCAGCAGCAGCGGCAGAAGCACCTGCAGCAGCAGCAGAAGCACCTGCAGCAGCATCAGCAGCATCTGGAGTAGGCGCACCAGGGTTACTATCTCGAATGAGAGTATGTGTCACAGCACCTGCTGATGGTGCCACAGCCCCCAACCCTGGAATTCTGTTACTGCCACACCCTTCTGCCTTCAGAGTCTCCTCAGTCCCTGCACTTGGCCCTGATCCCCCACTTGCGTTGACAGCACCAGCATCAATAATCATAGCACCAGCAGCACCATCAGCACCCGCAGCAGCACCATCAGTGGCAGGATTGGCAGCAACAGCTGGAGTAAGCACACCGCTTTCACCACAAACCCCTTCGGCCTCTCCTTGCCTCTGCTTTTTTGCATCTGCCCTCTCCTCCACGCCCTCGCCTCTCTCCTTCACATCACCGCCATTCGCCTCCCCAATGACGCCTCCTGCCTTTTGTAATGTATCGTTTGCTTGATCTGCCACTGATGCCTCTGCTGTTTTTGCTGCCTCCTGTACTGCTTTAGCTGCCTCCTCTGCTGCTTTAACTGCTTCTGCTGCTTTAGCTGCCTCCTCTGCTGCTTTCGCTGCTTCTGCTGCTTTAGCTGCTTCCTCTGCTGCTTTCGCTGCTTCTGCTGCTTTCGCTGCCTCCTCTGCTGCTTTAACTGCCTCCCTTTCCTGACGTACGAGCTACTCAACCAAACAGGCGAGGCACACGGAAGGTGGTGAAGGAATGAGATCAATTGGTGATTCGGTATCAAACACACGCAACGGGAAAGAAACGAGGAGTCACTGTAAGCACATGCATGCAGAGATGAGGAAGAGGAGGAGGGGGGGAAGGAGGAGGAGGAGGAAGAGGTGGGGGGGGAGGAGTAGGAGGGGGGTGGGAGGGGGAGTAGGAGGACGACGAACTGGAGGACGAATTGGAGGACAATCAAGCAGAGACACAGTTGAATAGCAAGGCAAAAGAAGGAGCAGAAGGGGATGAGCAGTTAACAGCGGCGGCAGCAGCAGCAGCAGCAGCAGAAGCAGCAGCAGGAAGAACAGCAGGAAAAGAAGCCTCCAATACCTACTGTGCCCCCTACGTGCGCTTGCCCCACCACCTACTCCCCCACGACCTCCCGCCTTCGCTCCCACCCACCCGTGGCCCCAGTGGCAACGTGCCTGCAGGGAGTGCAGGCGCAGGTCGCGGTAGGCCTCGGTCTCCTCGGGGAACACTCGGTCCATCTCACTCAGTAGCTGCGCTCGCAGCGCCTGGTCGTGCCCACAACGCACACGCACGGTGACGGGAGGACGGTTGGGTGGGGTAGGGAAACAGAGAAGCGTGGCGCAGGTGAGTGGGAGTGCGCGTCATACGCTCATGCCCTCATGCCCCCATGCCCCCATGCCCCCATGTCCCCATGCCCCCATGCCCCCATGTCCCCGACCAGTATGCCATGATGTCACCGCATGCATTCATAAAACGGCTGCTACCCCCACGTGCGTGCCTCAGCGGCAGAGCCACGAGCCAAGCCGCCAAGCCCTGCTAAGCCAAGCCCTGCCAAGCCAAGCCCTGCCAATCCAAGCCCCTGCAGAAAGCCTGAGCACGCAAGCGCATGGGGGGCAGGGCAAGTGTGCGTAGCAGGCAGAGTGCGAGGGGGGCGGACCTTGAAGGCGTCGACCTTGCCCTTGGTGGTGGCGTTGTGCGCCACACAGCCCCGCAGCAGCTCCCGCGTCACCTCGTTCGGATTGCGCCCCTCATCCACACACCTGCCAGCAGCAGCAGCAGCAGCAGCAGCAGCAGCAGCACAAAGGCCACGCACGCAGAGCATGTCAAGAATGACAGCAATGCACATAGATAGTCTAGTCAGCCAAGAAGAACAGTCAGGTCAACACACAGCTACTCCCCATGCAACGTTTTTGCACCATGCAAACATTCGCCGCCTCCCACGGTCCCCCAGGGCTCCGCATGGCACCATGCACCGTGCTCCCCGCTCTACTGCTGCAACCGTCGCATGGTTGCTGCCAGTAACGCCTTCTCTGCACGCCTCCTCGCCTGCTTCCCCACGCAACACCGTGCGCGCGTTCTGGATTCCTTTGCGGCCTCTGTGCGAATCTCCTGAGTGCTCTGCCTTCCTCTACACCTTCTGTTACAATCACCTGAGCACGTCCAGCGGCACATGCGCCTCGCACTGTTCCGCTGCGCCGAGCAGCTCCGCGAACCCCGTGACCAGGCCGTTGCTGGCGCGGGTGAGGGCGGGGAGCAAGGGGGAAGGGGAGGGGAGAGAAGAGGGACAGGTCAAATGGAGCTTGAGAGGCTGGCGGGCGGATGGGCGATGGGAGATGGAGGAGCGAAAGGAGGAGCGCGACGGACATGCGGTCGAGGAGGAGCAGCTGGTTGGACTCGTGGAAGAGAGAGACGGTTCGCTCCAACTCGTGCACGCGCGACAGCGACCGCTCGATCGCTGCGCCCAGCTCCACCGTCGCGTTCGACGACGAGGCGGGTGCGGGAGGGTGCGGCGACATGGTTGTCCGCGAGAAGAAGTTGTTTTAATGGGGTAGGGACGGCTTGCGAAGTTCCAACAGCTGGGTCGCGGAAAAGAGAGTCCAAGATGACGTGAATGGGACGGGGGAGGGAGGGATTTCTAGTTGTGGTTGCTGGTGTCTACTGTCCTACATTGCATAAACATCTGTACTCATGAACAATAATAATTGCTTACTGAGCTATCCCTTATCAAGTATGCAAGGCCTCGCAACCAGGATTGCATATGGAAGCCCGCGACGAGGGGGAGACGCCACGATCTCGACAACGTTCTCTGTTTGAACGCGCCCTCACCGGGGTCCTCCGCTGACGCATTTCCCTCGAGCCCTCTCACCACAGCTGGAGCCTTGAATCTTGGCAGTCATTGGTTCGGGAATGAGCTGGACCTCGATTGTGGGAAGGGGGCACCATATCCGACGTGGCGTGGGAATAATTGATCGGTTATGATTTCCGTCATTGCCAAATCGAGAATCGCTGATTGGGCTGACAAAGCAGCTCAGCTTTGATGATTGGCCAGAACGATTGGGAAATGTCCTTGGCCACACATTCCTTTCACCCCCGCGCCCACTCACGCACATATTCCGCCCGCTCCTTTGGGCGGTGCCCATGCAAATACGAGCCAGATTGTACCAAGCAGCAAAGATGACACTCTGTGTACCGCGGCTCAGGAAACGGAAGATGATTCTGAATACGCCTTGAGTGTGTTAGGCACAAACACCCATGCACCTGCGAACAGCGTTGAGCTCCTTTCTTTCTTCCCTTCTCGCTCTCCCTGGCCGAGTCTCATCTTTATTCCGTTGCCTGATCTGCGTGCCGCGTGCTGCTCAGATCCTCGCTGCTCGGCCGCAGGCAGTCGCAGCCATGGACGCAGGCATCGAAGCCGGCATTGGCAACGCCACGGCCAGCGCCGCGTTGCTAGAATCCTCCTCGCCGCTCGCCCTCCTCAAATCCCTCGCACCGACCCTCCTAGTCGCCGCGATCCTCGCCGTGTTCATCGCGCGATGGTTCCGCAGCGGCGGCGGAAAGCAACCGCCCGTGGTCCCAACCATCCCGCTCATCGGCGGGCTGCTAAAATTCATGAAAGGCCCGATCCCGCTGATCCAAGACGCGTACGCCAAGTACGGCAGCGTGTTCACGGTCAACGTGCTCCACATGCGCATGACTTTCCTGATCGGGCCCGAGGCGACGACGCATTTCTACAAGGCGTCGGAGGATCAGCTGAGCCAGCGCGAGGTGTACAAGTACAACGTGCCCACGTTCGGCCCGGGCGTCGTCTTCGACGTCGATTACCCGATCCGCATGGAGCAGTTTCGCTTCTTTGCCGATTCGCTCAAGCCCACGCGCCTGCGCACCTATGTTGATATGATGGTGGAGGAGGCGCAGGTGAGCGCGGCGCGCCGGCGGGGATGAGGGCGATGGGGATTGGGATGGTGATGGGTGATGGTGGTGGCGGTGCTGGTGACGGGCGGGATTGGGTGAGATCCGTGCGTGACGATCGTGCTTCGGCATCGTGTGTCCGGTTTCCGCTATAATCTTTGCATCTCTTGTGCGGGTCCCGCCTGCCGCCTGTGTCCTTGCGCCCTCGTTTTTCTCCGTCGCTTGCGCCCTTTGCTTCCGCATTTCTGTCCCCGGTATCAAATTTTCTCGCTGGCTTTCTGGGTCTCGACCTCGCCGCGCCGCCGCCTGCCGTTGATCACGCGCCGTCTTTCACTTGTCGCCCGTTCCGCGGATCGCCTTCGCGAGCCCGAGTATCCCGTCCCCATTGTATCGCACCACTGCATTGCATCCATGCGCTTCGAGCCCGGTCCCCACACCCTCACGAGCGCCTCTCCCTTCACGCCCACACTCTCCACAACCATTTCTCCCACTTTCCTCTCACTTTCTCCCTCGAACCTCGTCCCCTCTCCCCCCACTCCCCTCCCCACTCCCTCTCTCCCTCCCCCCCGCCCCTTGCCCCTGGTCTCCCCCGCTCGTCTCTCCGCGCGCTGCTTGCAGGATTTCTTTTCGCAGTGGGGCGACGAGGGCGAGGTGGATCTGAAGGACGCCATGGCGCGCCTCATCATCCTCACGGCCAGCCGCTGCCTGCTGGGCCGCGAGGTGCGCGAGGGCATGGCGGACAAGGTCTCCGACCTCTTCCACACGCTTGACCTGGGCATGCTGCCCATCAGGTACGCTCGACCTGGGCATGCTGCCCATCAGGTACGCGTGCCCGCGCGAATGCGCGTGCGAGTGCGTGTGCGCGTGAGATCATATAGATGAACACAAACCATAAGAAGCAAGATCAGGCGGATTTGTATTATACTTGATCGTGCGCGTCGTCGTGCGTTCAATGGATGGAAGAGTGCGAGCGGATAGAGTAGGTGTGTCCGTGTCAGTGCTGCCATGCCACGGGCTGCTCGTCTGCTCCATTCTCCCTCGCACTCACTCCCTGCCGCGGATCTGCTTTCCACAAGTTGATCAAACAGCAACAGCGCGATTGGCCGTCTCACCTCCTTGTACCGGATCGGACCTTGCGGCCGGGCTTTGGCACCTTATCAAGTCGTTTCACTGAACACCGGCGCTCTCCCCCTTCTTCCACCCCTTTCCGCCCCCGTCCCCTTCCACCCTTCCCGTTTCTCCGCCCGCCGTATACCCGCCCAACCCCGCAGCGTTCTCTTCCCCTACCTGCCCATCCCCGCGCACAAGCGCCGCGACGAGGCGCGCAAGGAGCTGGCGGGCATTTTCGGGCGCATCGTGCGCGCGCGAAAGGAGTCGGGGCGCGTCGAGAATGACATGCTGCAGGTGAGGCGCGGGGAGGGAGAGAGGCGCCGATAGTGTAAGGACGGGGGTTTAGGGGGGAGAGAGGTGTGGAGGGGAGAGGGTAGGGGAGTGGATGGGTGTGAGGCGCTGGGAGGTTTGACAAGTCTCAACAGTTGTACAGTGCACTTTCCATCACACACATCACACATCACACATCACACATCACCCCTCCCACCTTCCCGTTTCCCGTTTCCCCTTCTCCTTTCCCCTTCCGCTTCTTGTTGCCCTTGCCCTAATCCGCCCCCTTCCACTGAGTACCAGGACCCTCTCCTTTCTTGCTTTCCCATCCATCTCCATCTCCCGCCGGATTCACCACCACTTTCCATCCCCTCTCCCACGCTTCGTCTTCTCTTCCTTTTCTCCCTCACGCTCCCGCTTCTCTGCTCTTACTCTCTCTCCCTCTCTCTCTCCCTCCCCCCTCCCACCCCATTTCCCGACGTTCTCCCTGTCTCCCCATCCCTCACCAGCCCCCCCTCCCCTTCTTTTCCCCCCTGAACCCCCCTCTCCCCCTCCCCCCGCTGTCCACCCACCGTCTCTCCTTCATCACCTATCAATATCTCCCCTTCTCCCTTTCTTCCCTTAATCCCTCTCCCGCACACCCCTCTCCTGCTTTTGATACGCCTAAAAATGCTCCGTCCCCCCGGCTCCTTCCCCCTCTCTCCCCTCCCCCGCTCCCCGCGCCCCCCGCCTCCGCCCGTGCGCGCGCAGGTGTTCATAGACAGCCGGTACAAGCTGCTGAACCGTAGGTGACTCAAACCCCCCCTCCCCCTCCCTCCCCCTCCCCCCGCCCTCCCCTTCCTTCTCTCTTCCCCTCCCCTTCCCCGGCGCTCCCCCCCCGCAGGTGTTCATCGACAGCCGGTACAAGCTGCTGAACCGCAGCACGACAGAGGAGGAGTGCGCGGGCATGCTCATCGCCGCGCTCTTTGGCGGCCAGCACACCTCCTCGCTCACCGCCACCTGGGTCGGCGCCTACCTCCTCACGTGAGCTCCCATGGCGGCACGGGAAAGGGATGGAGCGGGAGGGACGGGGAGGGAGGGCGGTGGAGGGGTGAGGAAGAGTGGGGAGTGGAAAGGGGAGGGATGGGATGGGGTGGGGCTGGATGCAGGAGGACGGGGCAGTGGTTTAGCAGCACATGTGGATGGGATGAGCACATGTGGATGGGATGAGCACATGTGGGTCGGTCATGCTTCATCTCACATACAGCGTGACTTGCCACCCCACGACACGAGCGCACGTTCCATCACTAACCATGCGCACCCTTCTGTCCACTTGGCACCCAAACTGGATCGCTCCACGCTGTAATGAAACCCCTCCATTCCTCCCATTCCTCAACCCCTCTTCACCCCCCTTTCTTCCTTCCTCTCCCCTCTCCCCCCGGGCTTCCCCTTCCCTTCCTCCCTCCCTCCCCTTCATCTCACCCTCCCTCTCCCATCTCCCGTGCGTCCCCTTGTGCTCCTTTCCCAGCCGTCGTGACGACATCCTGTCAAGCGTGGTGGCGGAGCAGAAGGCGGTGATGGCGCGGCACGGGAAGACACTCAACTACGACGTGCTGAGCGAGATGGACGGCCTGCTCCCGCCGCTCGTCCCCTTCCACCCTCCCATTCCTCATTCCCTTTCCTCCCCCCATCCCTCCGCTCCCCACCCCCCCTTCCCTCCATCCCCGGCCCCCTTCCCTCCTCCTGCTGTTCTCCGCCCCTCCTCCCTCTCCCTCTCCCTCTCCCCTCGCCCTTCCTCACCTCCCCAGCCGTCGTGACGACATCCTATCGAGCGTGGTGGCGGAGCAGCAGGCGGTGATGGCACGGCACGGCGGCACGCTCAACTACGACGTGCTGAGCGAGATGGACTGCCTGCACCGCGTGATGAAGGAGGTGCTGCGCCTGCACCCGCCGCTCGTCATGCTGCTCCGCTACGCGCAGCAGCCCTTCAACGTCACAGGCCACGAGGGCAAGACATACACTGTGCCCAAGGGGACCGTTGTTGCTGCCGCGCCCGCCTTCAGCAACAGGTGAGAGGGGGAGAGCGGAAGGGGAGGGTGGGATGGGGAGGGGGATGAGGGGGCAGGGTAGAAGGGGAGGTTTGAATAAAGCCCTTCTCGGTCACGGGTCACGAGGGCAGGACGTAGACTGTGCTCAAGGGGACTGTTGTTGCTGCCGTGCCCGCCTTCAGCAACAGGTGAGAGAGGGCGAGGGGGAAGGGGAGGGTGGGATGGGGAGGGGGATGAGGGGGCAGGGTAGAAGGGGAGGTTTGAATAAAGCTCTTCTCTGTCACGGGCCACGAGGGCAGGACGTAGACTGTGCTCAAGGGGACTGTTGTTGCTGCCGTGCCCGCCTTCAGCAACAGGTGAGGCACGGCGGGAGTTGGGGAGGGAAGGAGGAATGTGAGGGAGGTGAAGGGAAGTGTCAAGGGAAGTGCACGCGTGTGTTCTCTGAGGCTTGACCAGACCAGGCATGCTGACAACGAGGATCGTAAGGGACGGGGAGGAAGATGGGTACAGGTTAGGAGGGATGGGCGGGGAGGCTGTTGGCATAGTACAAGGAAAGATGTCCTTTGAGATGCGGACCAATCTTTCTTCCATCCATAACATGAAAGGCAAAGAAATGCAGTGACTTTTGAGAATTCTCAAAAGTGTCCGGAACCAACCAGGGGCCTATGCCTGTGCCTGTGCCTGGGCCTGTGCCTGGCACTGCGGCATCACTGCGGCCATCACTGCGGCACCCCTCATCACTGCGGCACCCCTCATCACTGCGGCATCCCTCATCACTGCGGCATCCCTCATCACTGCGGCATCCCTCATCACTGCGGCATGCTCCTCACACCATCGCTCACCTCCTCGTCCCCTGTGCTGCGCGCATGGCCCCGCCCCTGCCACATCCCCACCCCGCTCCCTGCCCTGCCACACCATGCGCGCCAGGCAGGGGTACATCTGACCCCGACCGCTTTGCACCACCCTTCACCTCCTCGTTCGCTGTCCCTGTCTTGCCCCCTGCCACATCCCTTCCCTGCCCATGCACACCACGGCTGGCAGGCTGGGGTACATCTACTGCAAGCTGGATGAGTTTGACCCCGACCGTTCTGCACCATTCTTCACCTCCTCGCTCCCTGCCTTGGCCCCGCCCGACCATGCCCCCACCCCTGCCACATCCCTCCCCATGCACGGCACAGCTGGCAGGCCGGGGTACATCAACAGCAAGCCGGACGAATTTTGACTCAAAATAAAATGTTCCCGCCCCTGCGTATCCCCGGCCCCCTGCCACGTCCCTATCATGGCACGCGATGCACACGGCAGGCTGGGGTACATCTACAGCAAGCCGGACGAGTTTGACCCCGACCGCTTTGCACCATTCTTCACCTCCTCGCTCCCTGTCTTGTCCCCGCCCTGCCATGGCCCCACCCCTGTCACATCCCTCCCCATGCCCACGGCACACACCAGGCTGCCGTACATCTACAGCAAGCCGGACGAGTTTGACCCCGACCGCTTCGCGCCCCCGCGCGAGGAGGACCGCGCCATGCCCTTCTCCTTCACCGCCTTCGGTGGCGGCCGCCACGGGTGCATGGGGGAGAACTTCGCCTACATGCAGGTGCGTGTGGGTGGGGGGGGAGAGAGGGAGGGGGGGGGGGATGGGGTGACCTATGAGTGAGTCGACTCAATGTGGCCACGGGTGCATGGGGGAGAGCTTCGCGTACATGCAGGTGTGCGGGGTGGGGGGCCTGGGATGGGGTGACTTATGAGTGGATTCAATGTCGCTGCGGGTGCGCGGGGTAGAAAGGTTCCTGTATGCAGGAGAGATGGGGGGCGATGGGAAAGGGGGGAGACGAGGGAGGTGGAGGGGGGTTTGTGAAAGAAGTGGGGGATGAGTGCGTAGAGGAGGTAGAGAGTTGAGGAACTTGGGAGGTGGAGCGAGGAAGATTGTGAGGTGTCAGGAGTCATTCTTGAGAGCTCTCACAATTGACTCCATTTTTTCAAAATGGCCCAAGTGATTGTGTGTGTGTGGTGTTGTGGGGAGATTTGACAGGAGGGGCAGGCAGAGGCAGCTCTATCGGATGGATGCGTGGCAATCCAGGCCATGTGCTTGCCTTCCCTTCCCTTCCCTTCCCTTCCCTTCCCTTCCCTTCCCTTCCCTTCCCTTCCCTTCCCTTCCCTTCCCTTCCCTTCACTTCCCTTCCCTTACCTTACCTTGCCTTGCCTTGCCTTACCTTGCCTTACCTTGCCTTACCTTCCCTTACCTTACCTAGGCCTTTTGTGTGCTCTCGATAGTCACCAACACCAAGTATCATTCTTCCCTCGATTGCCCCATTCTCAACTAGACTGCAAAATGAAACTCATTCTTGTGTCAACAGAATGAACCCCACTTTCCCCCTCCCTCACTCCCTCCATGCTCCCTTCCCTTTCCCCCCTCCGTCCCCACAGGGCAAGACGGTGTGGAGTGTGCTGCTGCGTAACTTTGAGCTGAAGCTGATCACGCCCTTCCCCCCAGTGGACTGGGACTCGCTTGTCGTGGGGCCCAAGGGGCCTGTCATGGTGCGCTACAAGCGCCGCACCCTCCCCCCCGCTGCCACACCCGCTGCCACACCTGCTGCTGCCACAGCTGCTGCGTAGGCTTGGCATGGCGGCAACGGCACACCTCCTGCTGTGTCTCCTCGCTTGCACTCCCTGGTACCACGCAGTGTGGTGGTATACCCAGGGCTTCTGTTCCTCTCCTGTCTTCTCTTCCCTGCTCTCCTCCACCTCAGCTGGTTTATCCCTCACACCTTTGCACGCAGCACCACTGAACTGTTAACCATAAAGTCAGCATTAGGCTGCCCACTTTTGGTAGTTGCCCGGAAAAAGCCCTGCCCAAAGGTTTGGGCTCTGACGGAAGTGAAGGGATAGGGCTGAGTTGGGTGGTGACAGGGATAGGGTTGTTGAGACGGGCTACTAGTGAAGGGATCCGAAGTAGTTTGTAAGTAGGCACGCACCTCACTTTTGCATGACCCAATGAAAGCATGCTGCAGGCGGTTGGTTGGGGACAAGCAGAGTCTTTTGGTGACGCTCTGGTTGGGTTGAAACTTGGAAGTTGGAACTTGGGACTGCTGCTGATAGCACGATCAGGAGGTGCAGGGACTAGAGCTTGCGCAATAGATGCATGGTTGCATTGCTGCACATGCTGGTGAAGAATGATTTTGAAAGCGTCTAAAAACTGCATTTCATAGCCCCAAAATCATGGAATGAGTGAAACTGGTCAAACTCTGGCCAAGTCCATCAACCATGCTACTATCTCACAGCAGTAGCCACGGCGCTCCTGCTGGGGTGGGGACAAATATTGCCAGGATTGTGCTTCACAAACACACTCCCGTAATTCACCTTTTGCACAAAATCATCACCTCCATCTCAGCACCGTAGTTATTACAACCCCACCATCACAGCAGCGCCCTCCCAGCCAACATTCACATGTAACCTCCAGTACCCTTCCCCCCCACGCCCGTCCCGTCCATGCGGGCATCAGGAGGCAAGCAGTCCTCCCGAGGGGCTGTGCGGGTCATGGTGGTGCATGAGGTGCTGCAGGTCTCGGATCTGCCGCTGCATGCTCTCCCTCTCGCGGTACAGCATCACCACCAGCGCCAGCGCCACTGCCACTGCCATGCCCAGCGCCGTTGCCAGGAGAGGCGCTGCCCTCGCCCCCCGCTCCTCTGCATGTGCCGTGGTGGGAGGTGGTGGTTGGAGGGCAAGTGAGGACGGTGGTGGATGGGAGTGAACCGCGCGGGATGAGGGAGGGGTGTGGGAGGAGTGAGGGAGGAGTGAGGGAGGGGTGAGGGAGTATGGGGTAGGAGAAGAGAAATAAGGAGCAAACGAGGAGCAGAGGAGAGAGATGAGAGCAGAGAAAAAGAGGGAGCAGGTGGGCAGCAAAAGAGCCTTCGAGGGGGAAGAGAGGGGTAGGGAAGAGTGAGCTGGGACGAAGAGAGGACAAGAGAGATTGGTGGGGACAAGAGTAAAGCGAGAGTTTTGGGACGTCTGAAAAGTCATAGACAGGAGGGGACGCGAGTAAAAGCAAGAGATATATGGCACGCGAGCAGAGAGGGTAGAAGCCGGTGGAGAGGAGAGGGAGCAAGTGAGCGGGGAAGGAGGGATGCGATGACAGACCAGCTTCCTGCAGCGATATGCAAGGGGAGTAGGTGCCGGGGTCTTGAGAGAGCGGCTGTGGGAAGGAGGCGTTGAGCAGCGCTGCGAGGCGGTACGCCGCTAGTGCTAGCTGTGACTTGGCCACCTCCTGATGCGAGCAAGGGGCAGGAGGGATGCGAGAAGGGATGCGAGGGGATGAGCACAGGGATGTGAGAGGGGGGTGTGGGAAGGGGGAAAGGAAGTGGACGGATGGCGAGTGTTTTGCACATCAAACTAGCAGGTGAGAGAGCAAGAGAACGAGCGGGAGAGAAAGAGAGGGAGTGGGAGAGGGGGGTACGGAGAGAGGGAGAGGGAGAGGGAGAGGAGAGGGAGTGAGAGAGGAAGAGGGGTAGAGGGAGAGTGAGAGAGGGAGAGGGAGAGAGGGAGAGTGAGAGAGAGAGAGAGAGAGAGAGAGAGAGAGAGAGGACTTAGCCTCTGCCTCTAGCCTCTGCCTCTGCCCTCTAGCTATATATAGGGCCCTTGGGGTCATTTCTCTGCCATTAGTTCGTTTGGTGCCAGTTTTTCTTGGGTGGCAAGCAACAACTCTGGAAAAGAAACAAACAACACACAGCGCTCAACACAAGGGAAGACGGCATGCAGTTCTACGCTAGGCGAAAGCCTACATCGTGTACGCTCGGCCCCCGCCACTTCAAGCATCGAGCGCATGCACGCCGATACCGCAAGAAGGAGATGCGCCGTTGACTGGAGCGTGTCCAAGGGAGTCCCGCCTTGAGCAGCCCCCACAAGATCCCCCACGTGGCGGGGGAAAGTACGGGCTAAGGGAGCTACCCCGGCGGGCGCATCCGACACGGGTGCCAACGGCGACTCGAGCGATTCTGCCAAAGTCACGCAGGATCCTCGGGTTCCTGGACCGAAACTGCTAGGAAAATTCCGCGTGGCCGCACACACCGCCAGCTGCAAGTTCGCCAACACCTCACACACCTCCGCCAGATTCAGAATCCGGCACAGGGTCAGCATGGGATCTGTGCCCGCGCGAATGGGGGGAAGTGCAGTCTGTGCTTCGCGCGGAAACACCGTCGAGTCCGGCCAACGGATAATCGCGGCGCGGAGAAGCCAGGGAGCTGACGAGGGGTGCGGAACTGAGCCCTCTGCTCACGCGCTGGCAGATAATCACGCAGGGTCGGCGCACGCAGGGGAGCAACCTGGCCAGGGTCCGCTGCGATGGGGGGACCGTTGGTCACCTCAATGTGGACGTGAGTCGGCCCCCGGCTTGCCTGGGCCTGCCGCACCACCTCCACAAACGTGTTCGCGGCGCGATCGAGGGCAGGATCCTGCTGGCGACCACTACCGCCACGCCCTCCGCCATTGCGCCGGCCCCGCCGGCCCGCGGAACCTGCCGAGCGCGGACGCGGGGGGGTCTGCTCGCGGCGACCCGATTCCCAGCGACGCCCAGGCGACCCCCTCCCCCGCGTCGCCGGAGGTCCCCGCGGAGAGCGTGGCTCGGGGGATCGCGCTCGGGGTGAGCGCTGGCCTGCCCGACCACGAGGAGATGGGCGGCGAGGAGAGCGATGGCCGGCAGGGGACAGCTGATCGTCAACGCCGTCCCGCTGATCTTCGCAACGCTCTGGGGACCGGCGGCGAGGAGATTGCTGCCGCGGCTGCTGCCGGGGCGGCGAACGCCCGCGCTCCTGACGCGGCTGAGCAGCAGACCGGTTTGAGGCAATCTGAGCGGGAACCCACGAGTACTCCGGCGTATGAGGCTGCCGAACATGTCGCAGAGGAAGAGACAGCCCGCGCTCCAGGCAGGGGACAGGCTCAGACGCGGAGGGGCGCGCTGCAGCAAGAGGACGAGGAGCAGCAGGCCCCTGCGCACGGGGCGGATCGAGCCGTGCGCTCTCTGCAGTACTCTCCTGCGCGCAGTCGCGACCCGCGGTTGGGTTCATTACGCCGGAGCACGGAGCCACGGACGCCAGCAGGCCGCCAAAGACGAGGCCGTGGTTCTACCTCCGCGCCTCAGCCAGCACGCCGCGACGCAGAGGCAGGCACGACGCCGCGAGGTATCCGCGTGGCTAGAGGTGGGAGACGAGGCGGACGCAGAGGAGGCGTCTCAGTTCAACGACGCGGGGCTAGTAGCTTCGCGAGGGCCGCTCACCGGATCCTGCGGGAGAGAGCTGGAGATGGAGAAGAATCGAGTGATGAAAATTCTGTGGGTGACCCACTTTTTAACCCTGAAAGAGAGGGGAGTTCTAGTCCCTCTCCTCAGGTGGAAGAGGCAGAGCAGCACGAGGAGTTGGCTCAAAACCCAACACATAGCCGAGGCGCATCTGCAGTTCGAATTGGGAGACAGATTCGAGTCGGGGGGGGGGAACCGAGCCGCACAAATTGCAGATGGCACCCCTTCCCGAACCAATCAGCAGGGCGCAGACTTACCCACCCGCCAGCCAATGTTCAGTGCTGGCGACCTGGCAAAACGCCAGGACCTTTTCGCCGACGTCGCAACATGGGACCTCAACCCCCTTCGCGACAGCAGGCAACCTCCACTCGCCCGTCACCCACCTCGCACACTTCGCGACTCTTTCGCTGCCTGCCTCCTCACCCCACTGTTACACCTCGCCAAAGACCCTGACTCACCTGCGGGGTGGAGGCTGTTAATGTTCCTCCCGCGCATCCTATTGCGCACTTCGTCAGCCAAACGCCCAGATTGGTCGAAGGTTGGCGCCAGGTTAATTCAGTTCCGCCAGGGCCTCTGGCGGAACCTGTATGACGAGGCGGCTGACGCAGTATCCCAACCCCCACAGCCCCGCCACGCGCCGGACACCACAGGCATCCTGGCAAGGGCTGAGGGTTTGGCCAAACGAGGAAACCTGGCGAAATCGCTCCAATCCCTAACAGCCACGCCAGTCTCCCCCCCATCCACGGACGTGCTCCAAGCCCTCTCAGCTAGACACCCTCATGCGCGCCAAGCCGTCCCTGACTGGGTACCGGAGTTCACCACTGACTCAACCCCTACAATCCATCCACGCGACTTCAGGCGCATCCTCGCCAAGTGCCCGAATGGAGTGGGCGCTGGCCCCTCAGGCACCACCTTTGAACACCTGAGGGACGCTGCCTTAGGAAACACAGACATTTTCCTACAGTTGCACGCACTTACGAACACTGCGCTGGCCGGTAAACTTAGCTCTGAAGCGGCAGAACTTCTCACAGCATCACGGCTGCTCGCATTCGCCAAGCCACATGGGGGTACACGGCCGATTGCGGTGGGCGAGTGCCTGCTACGGCTTGTCGCCAAAGCGGCATTATTCCTGGCGGCCGAGAAGGCACGTGAACACTTCGCTCCGCTCCAATTCGGCGTGGCGATAGCTGGCGGCATTGAAGCAGCAGTGCATACCGCCAGAACGTACCTGGAGGAGAATACAGGGGCTGTGGCGCTGCAGATTGACCTAGCGAACGCCTTTAACGCGGTCGAGCGAGCGGCGGTGTTCGATGGCCTGAAAGGGACCAGCCTGGAATTCTTAGTGCCCCTGGTCCGGCTTACCTACGGCGTCCCCTCGGCGCTGCACCTCGACCACGAGTTTCACGCTCCCCCCCTGCAGTCCGCGCGCGGCGTACGTCAAGGGGACCCGCTGGGCCCGCTTCTCTTCGCCGCTAGCATACACCCTTGCCTGGTAGCTGCGGCGGAAGCACATCCGGGAGTCGTCTTTCTCGCGTACGCTGACGACATTACTCTCCTGGGGGAAGCTGAGGCGTGCACGGAGGCTTTCACTCACCTCACCACCGCCCTGCTATCCCTCGGCCTGGAACACAACCCCGAGAAGTGCGCGGCGTGGTCAGCCGCGCACACTGACCCCGCCTCCCTCCCTGCGCACGTACCTTTCTTTCTCGGCGGATGGGATCCGCGTCTTGGGGAGCCCAATCGGGCCGCAGGCAGGATGCGCGGCCTTGGTGCAGGAGCGCCTGTCGGCAGCAGCAGAGCCACTTCCGCTCCTCTCACAAATGGATCCGCAGCTGAGCCTGCTCCTCCTGACACGCTGCGTGAGCCGCCGCGCCTCGTACCTGGTTAGGACAACGCCCCTGGAGGTGCTGCCAGCAGACACTTGGTCGGCGTGGGGGGAGCAGCTGCTGCACACGTACCTGACCGCGGCGCACACGGCGATACCGCGGGATGAGGCGGAGCGGGGGAGAATCTGGCGGCAGGCCGCGTTACCCGTGACACTGGGCGGCCTCGGCATCACCAATCCAGCAACGGAAGGGGTGTTCGCTTACCTAGCCTCGGTCATCTCCTCCGCCCACCTGCTGCGCTCGTTCGGTGACATTTTGCACCCCGCAATAGACCAGCTGCTGCCGCTACTGGATGCAAACGCCGACTCACCCTCGGTCCTGCCTCGGCGCCTTGCAGCGGCAGAGGCCACGCTGCCCCCGGATGGGCTGGAGGCTCTACAGGCCGGCCGGCGCGGTACAGATGGCCTGAAGCTACAGCAGGCCTTGTCGCTGGCCGTTCACACCGCTCGCTACATCGAGGTGCTCGATGCCTCGCGGGAGATGCCTCTGAACCCGCTCTTCGGCCACACCCAACGCCTGCAATCACTCCTCGGCCCCGGGGCAGGAGATTGGCTGCTGGCCATCCCCCTGACCCCAGCTCTTCGCCTCGGCCCCCCGCAGCACGCCACCGCATCCTCCTTCCGGCTAGGCCTCCCCCTACCTGTCCCTCGTCGTTGCGACTGCCGTCACCGCACAACCTTCCCGGACCACCGCCTCCCCAACCACCTAATGCGTTGCGAGAAAGGCGGCGGGAGAATTGCCACTCACCATGCTCTTCGTGATGAGTGCGCAAGGATTGCGGCGGAGGCGGGCTACACGGTGCACAAGGAATCCACAATTTACTCACCGGTCGAAAACCTGAAAGCGGATGTTTGCATCCGCCATCCCGACACCGGCGAGGTCCACATGTGCGACATCACCGTGACGGACCCTGTCTCTCACCAGGACGAATACGCACGTAAGGCACCGGGGTGGGGGGCTAGGATGCAAGCCGCGAAGAAGGAGGACAAGTACGCTCGACGGAACGCGTGGGTAGGCTTCCACGCCATGGCGGTCGAGACATACGGCTACCCCTCCCCGGGAGTACACGACTTCCTCCGCAGCTGTGCCGAGCTCGCGGGCAAGCGGCGGTTCAACGCAGCGCCAAAATCGAGGGAGGTGGCCAGGCTGCTCACGGAATACCGGCAGCGCTGGAGCGTCACACTCCAGCGCGCCCAGGCCAATGCCCTCCGCGACAAGACCCACGAGGCCTTCGCCGCGGACGAGCTCGGCCTGCAGGGACCGTTTGGCTGCCTAGGGGAGGAGCAGCTGTACCAACTGCTGGAAGACCCTACCGGCCAATAGGGTCGTGGGGAGAAGGGGCAGGCGATGGAGAAGTTGTAGTACTTACCTGTTTGTTGCTTGTTGAGTCTTGTTTGTTTGTTTAGATTAGCTTACGCTTAGTACCTCTGTGTGTTCTGCCTTGCTGATTAATACAGAGGACCATTCGAGGGAGAGAGGGAAAGGGAGTGAGGGAGAGGGAGGCACACCTGAGCATGGATGTTGTAGTCGTGAGTGAGCAGTATGGGTTCAACCGTCCCATGCCCCGATGCTGATGGAGAAGGAGCAGCAGCAGTGGCCTGCAGCGGGCCAGAGTACACCACTGATGCCGTGAGGCTGCCACTGCCTGCTGCCCACGCTGCCAAGTCCACCTCCTGCACCTGATCATGCCATAGGGAGACGGTTGTTGTTGGGGAGGTTGCAATATGGGGGGTGGGGGAGGCTGCGCATGGGCTGTGGGGAATAAATGTCACGAAGAACAGAGAGGTCACGTCACAGTCACATGCTGCCATGCATCCGTGCATCCATGCAACCATGCAACCATGCACCCATGCACTCATGCATCCATGCACTCATGCACCCATGCACCCATACACCCATACACCCATGCACCCATACAACCATACAACCATACAACCATGCACCTATACAGCGAGCACACAGAGAGCACACAGCGAGCACACAGCGAGCACACAGCGAGCACACAGCGAGCACACAGCGAGCACACAGCGAGCACACAGCACTGACCTCGTGTGCAGTGAAGGAGGAGAGGGGGAACTGAGCAGCGAGGGCGAGCGCAGCAGCGCGCACGTCCCTCTCATCCGCCTGGAACGCTGCTCCCGGCCGTGCAGGGTCGCCCCTCACCCCCCCGCCCCCTCCTCAAACGCCCCCCCTGCTGCCTCCCTGCCGCTCAGACCGGGGTTAGCAGGGGGGTGGGGAGCAGGGAGTGGAGGTGGGGGGTGGGGGGATAAGGAAGATAGGACAGGGGCGGAGAGAGAGAGAGAGAGCGAGCGAGTGAGAAAGTGGGATGGCAGGGGTGGTTTTGAGACTATCTTTGTTGTTTGACTATGTGTTTCAACCACACATAAGCACATAGCAGCACCCAGCAACCCATAGCAGCAGCAGCAGCAGCAGCGGCAGCAGCAGCGGCGGCGGCAGCAGCGGCGGCGGCAGCAGCAACAGCAGCAGCAGCAGCAGCAGCAGCAGCAGCAGGAGGAGGAGCAAGATAGTGGCACAGGTGCAGGCGAGGAAGGGGAGAGGCAGGGAGGCGAGGAGGCTGAGAGGCGGACCAGAAGTGAAAGAGAGTGTCGGCTTCATCCACTACATACTGCTCCACCGCCACCTGCTGTGCCCACCCCCGGCCCCCACGGGCCCCACACCTCCCCCGCCCTCCGTGCCCCCGCCTGCTGCCTCGAACCCGCCCACGTGGTGCCTGTCGGCGCAGTGCAGTGGCTGTAGGTGGGGCGCATGGTGAGAAGGTGAGGAGATTGAGCGGGAGGGATGTGTGTAGTGGGGAGGAGAGCAGAGGACTGTTCACAAGAGGTGGGTTGAGCGGGCCGGAAGGAGAGTGAGGTAGAGAGGAAAAGGGGAGGCTGGAGCTGAGGAAAAGCAATGCCAGGCTGTTCTGATGCAGCAGCACAGCACCTGGTGAAGGTCAGCGAACAGGTTGAGCAGCACTCGCAGCACAACTGCACGCCCAAAGCTGCACGCATGCAAGGCAGGGCAGGGGCAGAGGATAGGGCAGGCAGGGAGAAGGCGCGGGGAGAGAGGGGGGAGAGAAGAGGGGTGGGACTGGGTGGAGAGGCAACGCCACGGGCAAGGCCCAAGCTTGTTTGTATGGACAAGAAGGAAGGACGGAAGGTGGGAAAGAAGGTGGGAAGGAAGGTGGGAAGGAAGGCGGGAAGGAAGGCGGGAAGGAAGGCGGGAAGGAAGGTGAGAAGCAAGGTCGGAAAGCAAGCAGCTCCTCCCTCCTACAAACTTCCCTGCCCAAAACTTCCCCCCTAACAACCCGGCACACCCCAACCTGTTAGACATACCAGCTTCCCACGTCCCCCTGCCATTCCCACTTGCTTCCCTCCCCCAATATCAGTACCTACCTGTTTGCACAACTCCATCGCACCCGCGCCTCCCCTACCTCCCATCGGTCTCTCTGCCTCCCTTCCTCTCCCACATACTCGTGCCCCCTTCTCCTACCCCTCACGGCCCTCTTCCCCTGTCCCCACGCACACGTCAATGTGGGTGGCTTGCAGGGCAGCCAGTGCGCTGGTGAGCACCGACACCAGGGATGCCGGCGCTGCACGCGGGTAAGAGCAAGGGGGGTGTGTGGGAAAGGGCGGTGCTCAAGGGGGGTGTGGGGGCGGCAGGTGAGAGCAAGGGCCGCTTGCGAACGCAGCGTGTGGGGGACACGTGAAGGAGGAGAGGAGCAGTAGTAGTGAAGAGAGGAGTAGAAGCAGAGCAGCAACTTTTCGAGACATCTCAAAAGGCAGCAGAGAAGCAAGGAAGCAGCGTGTGGCAAGGAGCAAGGGAGGAGCAAGGGAGAAGGGGCAGCTTGGACAGGGAAGCATGGGTAAGGCAAGGGACAATGTAAGGCAAAGGGGTGGGGCGAGGGACAGGGGGGAGGAGCATGGAAGAGAAGGTGGGGGAGAAGGGGTGGGGGAAAGCGTGGGTGGGACACTTGGTAGGGCAGTGCGAAGTGGGGTGTGGGGTGTATGGTGCAGGACATACCTGGTACAGATGCTGCTGGTGGGGGTGATGGGGACCCGTCAATCGAGGAGGCAGGCAGGGCGGAGAGAGAGTAGTGCCTGCACCATGTGACATGGCATGGCGCGGCATGGGATGGCATGACATGACATAGCATAGCATGTATGGTATGACGAGTGAAAGGATGCAAGGGTGAGGCAAGTGGAAAGGGAGAAGGAGAGGTTGGGAGAAAGAGAGAGGAAGTGGAGGGAAGGGCAGGGCATGCAGTGGTGCAACGGATGGGATGGTATACGAGAGAACAAAGGCTGCAGGGGATGCAAGGTGCGGCGCAAATGGTGTGGAGGGAGGAATGGCGAGTGGGTAGTTACCAGGGTTGAAAGGCGGGCATGACCGTGGTGTTGATGACATCCAACCATCTGATGCCATGCACGCCACCATGCACCACACAGCATGGCATGGAAGGGCGTGGCAGGGCATGGCAGGGCAGGGCAGGGCATGAGCACAGGCGAGACAGTAAGGATGGAAGAAAAGGTAGAGGGGAATGGCAGAGCGTGCATGAGCACAGATTAGGTTCACATGGAGAGGATACCAATGAGTTGGAGAGGACTGGGTTCGTGGGAAGACGGGTGGGAAGAGACAAAGAACACCATGGGATGCGACGAAGAGCAGAGAATAACGCAATGGCATGGCCATGTTGGTACCAGGAGGTGATGAGGGGTGCGATGCCGCGCGAGGAGGAGGGGCGTGCTCTCACACGGCAAATGGGCGATTGAGTGAGATCCGCTCACGGCTCATGGCTTTACGTGGCAGCGACTAAAGCCACGGAGGAAGTAGAATTGGGTGGGTGCTTGGTTGTGTGACACTTGCACTCACATGGAGGATGCGTAGAAGGATGAGAGGGAGGGGTAGAAGGGGTTGAGGGGACTCAAGGCCTGCATGGACGAGGGAGGTGGATGGGGGGTGGAGAAAGATGGACGGGAGTAGGAGAGAGTGGGATGGTGGTGCGGGGAGGGAGGATGGGAATGGAGTTGAGCAGCATGGGGGGGTGCATGCGCTGGTGTGATGGCAAAACTGGGGACGACGCAACCAGTGCACATGCATTAGGTAGTGCGGACGGTGTGCAACACACATGGGCGTGCAGCACACACACACACACACGCTAGGCACACGGGCATGTGTGCGGGGCACGTGCCTGCATGGCGGCCTGCTGCGCTGTGGGGCTCATGTGCAGCCATGCCAAGTCCGCGACCACCTGCACGCACCGCACCACACCGCACCGCACACCCAGCATGCCACCCCAATTGGCAAAGGTGGACAGTGGAGAGGGAGGGGTGTCAGATAGAGGGTAGAGGCAGAGTATAACCGTGTGTAAAGGGCGAGGCGATGCAGGGTCAACGGGAAGGAGGGGGTGGGCGGATGCGGAGATGGAGGAAATGAGAAAGGAAGACCTGCTCATTTCTCATTGCACGGAAGTGCGCCCTCCCTCTCTCGCACGACAGCGAGGCAGCAAGACGGTACGAGAGCAATAGGTACGTTTCGAGATGAAAAAAACACGGGAGACGCGTTCACCTGGATGTCGTACCATGTGAGGAACGGCCCACCACGAGTGGACACGTGTCACTGATGACGTCATTACGGTTAGGACAAGGAGTCGGAAAAGAGATGACGGTAACATGATGGCGGCAGCGGGATATGAGCACGGATAAGTTCGACGGCGACTCGGGGACCGAGGATTGAAAACACGGATTCTTGGCTGCGCGTGGACATTCGGAATACAACCTTGTATGTGCGGGAATCGCGGTGATAATTGCCTGGCTGATATGATGTGTTCGGTACTCGAATTCGGATCCGACAGGGCTTGTACGGTGCGGTTCGGTTCAGTTTGAGTATGATGCAAGTACACTCAGGTCACACTTCCAAAAAACGAGGGCACAAACTACATAATTACAAATTCCGTAATACTTCAAAGCACATTTTGATAGAGCTTATTTTATTAGTATATAAATTTCCATGTTATAGGACTTTTTTTTTAACTAGAATCTCCTGATAATCTGGAATTGCTGTTATGGAAAATTTATTTCTATAATACAGTGGCCTTGTTTTGACGAGGACGAAAACGCTTCCCTCCCACCAATTCCATTACAAACAGCAAAGAGTTCTCTACCTCCAAGCCCCAAGGAATTTTCCACGTCCAACCAATCAGCAGCTTCCGCGTCGCTCCTTAGGAATGTTTCTCTCGCCCCGTTCCATCCACGTCACGGTCACCATCTCGCCACCCCAACTGAATTCAGTACGGATCGGATGCCTTCAATTTTACCACGAGCACCCCATTCACCTCGATTTCACATCTCCCACCTCGCCCCGTTTCCATTTCCCACCACACGCTTACCACCATTGCCTTCACCTTTCACCTGTCCTCAATCCGCCGTCTCGGCCAGAATCGTTCGACGCCGACTCCCATGCTGCCTGTACGAGCCCTCTCCGCCGCATCCGTCTCCTCCCCCACCTCTCTCACAGCACGCCACGTGTCCCAAATCCACGCGCCCACCTCCACTGCGACGCCGTCAGATTCTCACTTACCTGCCCTCCAGCCGCATTCTCCGCCGATGTCCCTCAGCCGTCCCTGTTTCCTCTCGCGCGGCTCGTTCGCACTGCGCCGAGAACGCGTGAAGCTACCACCTCGCGGAATCGCAACGAAAGTCATTTCGTTACTCCCACGGCCCGACGGTCACCCCCTCTCTTCGGCTACGGCTTCCGCGACAATTGGTCGTTCTGCCGTGTCTTGGAGCGCCAGCCTGCCTGGCATGGCCGGACAAGCCAAGCAGCGGGAATCCCCCGCCGTAGCCGCAGCTGTACCCGCTGCGACGGCGGCGACGTCGCCAGTGCCGTCGCTGGATGAGCTGCGTGCGACGGTGGAGGAGCGCGCGGGCGCGCCGCTGGGGCAGCGGGAGCGGCTGTCGAAGGCGGCGCAGCGGCTGTTCGGCGCGGCGGAGAGCGACGTGCGCGTGACGCTGTACCGCGACAACTCCGCGTGGTGCCCGTACTGCGAGCGCGTGTGGCTGCAACTGGAGGAGAAACACATCCCCTACGTGTGAGCTGCTCTGCCGTGGCCCGCTTGCCGCGTGCACTGTGCCGTGTGCAGTGTGCCGTGTGCAGTGTGTCGTGTGCAGTGTGCCGTGTGCAGTGTGCCGTGTGCAGTGTGCTGTGTCCCGCGTGTACTTCGTGTGCTGTAAAACTCCACGCGTGCCAACCGTCATGCCATTTTTGTTGGCTCCGCCACCAGCTTTCCCTTAGCACCTATCTCCTCCACCAACTTCACCCCCTCCGTCTAACTTTTCCACCATTGTCTGCCCCCCCTCTTCCTCCCTCCTCTTGTCCCCCCCTCTATCTCCCTATCTCCCCCTGCCCCTCCCTCTCCCTTTCCCGCTCCCTCGTCTCGCGTGAACTCTCGTCATGGCGCCCCGTCTACCTGGGCCCAGAGTGGAGAAGATCAACATGCGGTGCTACGGCCCCAAGCCCGACTGGTTCATGCAGATGGTGCCCTCAGGCCTGCTGCCCGTGCTCAAGGTATGCATGCATGCCGTGTGCGCGTGCCTGTGGGTGTGGAGGGGATGCGGTGTGGAGAGGAGGGGACGAGTGTGTGCGTGTGCGTGGCGCCTTGAGAATCCACTCTGTTACCATCCGCGTACTGCCATGCAATCCGCTACACTGCAGCACAGCCTTCTGTGCTGCCTGCCTGCTCGCGTTCCCTCTCAAGTCCCTCCACCTGGCAACACTCCCTCCCACCACCTCTCACCCCCCCAACCCGCTTCCCCACGCCCCCGCACCCCAGCTGGACGGCAGGGTGATAACGGAATCCCTGGACATCATGTTCGCCCTAGAGCGCGCCTTTTCCTCACGCACACGCCCCTGCTGCCTCCACCCCACTCCCCCTACCCTCACCTTCCTCCCTCTGCCCCCAGCTGGACGGCAAGGTGATAACGGAGTCCCTAGACATCATGTTTGCTATAGAGCGCGCCTTCCCCTCGCACACGCCCCTGCTGCCCCCGTCCTCCGACCGCGCGGCGTCGCAGCGCGTGGAGCGCCTGCTGCGCCTGGAGAGGCAGCTTGCGGGCGCGTGGCTGCAGTGGGCGCGCATGGGGGACGGCGCGGGCGGGCTCATGGGGGGGATGTTCAGGCGGGGGGGCGGAGGGGGGACGGGCGCGGGGCAGCGCATGTTTGAGGAGGCTTTGGATGCCGTGGATGCGGCGCTGCAGGAGGGCGGTGGGCCGCTCTTCATGGGCGATCAGGTGATGGTGGTGGGGTAGTGGGTGGGGCATGAGGGCGGGAGATGGTGGGGATGATGGGCGTGGAATGGGCGGGGGAACGGAGGGGGGGATGGAGGGGGGTGTGGCCGGGGGTTGGGCAGGGGGGATGGGCAGGGGGGATGGCTGGGAGGTGGGGCGGGGGATGTGTGGGAGGATATGTGGGGGGATGGGCGGAGGAATGGGATTGGATGGGGTGGAATGTAGCGGTGCACCACCCGCTTGCACTCTTCACCCCGTTCTCTCTATCCCAGCAGCACTGCCACCCACTACTGGATGCCCCTCTCATCCAACCAGCCCCACACTTCCCACTCCCCTGCAATCGCATTCCATCCTGCCTCCCCGTCCCTCTCCCTCTACCCCTCTCGCCCCACACCGCATTGCACCTCACCGCATCTCGTCTCCACCCCCATTTCCCCCCACACCCAACACGCCCCTCATCCCCTGCCCCACGCAGTTCTCCCTGGTGGACGCGGTGTACGCGCCATTCCTGGAGCGCGCAGCAGCCAGCGTGCCCTTCTGGAAGGGCCTCACCGTGCGCGGCAACCCGCGCTGGCCCGCACTCAACCTCTGGTTCACCGCTATGGACGCGCGCCCGCCCTACCTCGCCATGAAGTCCGATGACTTCACCATCACGCACACCCTCGAGCCGCAGATCGGCCCTGTCGTTCTTGCTGATGCGGGGGCTGCGCACCGGGATTATATCGAAGGGAGGGATGGTACTGGTGCGTGGGATTTGCCGCTACAGCCGGAGGTGACTGCGTGGGGGGAGGATGATGGGACAGGGGGGCCAGGGCGGCAGGCGCAACAGGAGGCGGTAGAGTCGATTATTCTCAACCATGAGTTGTTGATCTCCTTCTGCCTGCGTGCCTTGCGGGAGCAGTCCTTTCCCCGTCAGCGGGCCACGCTGGTTGGAGGAAGGCCCCGGCTGCAGCCGCCATCAGACGCTGAGCTGGAGGCAGCGAGGGAGCGGCTGGCGCCAGCTGTCAGCGAGGCGTTGCGCCACGTGGCGCATGCTCTGCTGGAGGGCACAGAGACGGTGGGGGCAGCAGTGCCAGCAGGGCTGCTTGGGGCGTTGAGTGGAGAGGAGAAGGAGGAGGTGGCAGTGTGTGTGGCTTATCTGAGGGACAGGGTGGGAGTGCCTAGGGACCTCACTTACCCTGCTGCAAGGCAGCTTAGGGCGCACCTGCAGTGGATGGTACGGCTGCTGGGCTCCAAGGTGTAGGCAGTGAGCTTGCCTGCATGCCACCTTGTGGTGCTGGGATGACTGGTTGGTGATGGGAGTGCCTCACTCGGTGCTCGGCATGTCTACCTCGCATTGGTACATATCTATGAAAATGAATTGGACTTACAGTCCATAAACAATTGATTTTGAAGAAGTAAATAACAAACAACTTTTCTAGTACTTGTCAGAAATGCTAGGCAGGAATTAAAAACAGGAAAGAGAGGTTTCCACTAGTAGGGTTGAGTACATATAGCAAACCCTAATTTGGGCTATACTCGCTATAGAGTACCCCACTGCAGGCTAGACAAACATCACATTCTGACACACCTCCATAGTCAAAGTGGGGTATAATGAGCTGTCAGAATGAAGAATGGATGGTGCATTGATGTTGGTTGGGGTACATATAGCTAACCCTAAGTTTTGTACCCCCTAAGACAAACCTCACTATAGGCTACAACATTTGACACACCCCCATAGCCTAAGTGAGGGGTGTCTAGCAGAACCAAACGAGTACGGTCACAAGACCAGTCCAAGAAACAAAGCTCAGGGTGGATCACAACGTCACCACACAGTCTGAGCACAAACAACAGTGGCCACAAGGCCAGTCCAAGAAGTAACAGAGATATATAGAAAGCAAAGTAAACAGTACACTCAAGTCTAAGCAACACGAGAACCAGTGTCAACAAGGCCTAACTGCACACAGCACCTCTAGTGGTCACAAGGCGGAAGCGCCTTGGTGAAGATGTCTGCAGTGTTGGCCTCGGACTCCACAAACTCAAAGCGAGCCTGTCCACGCCTCTGCAACTCTCGCAGAAGAAAGTACCTGACGTGAATGTGCTTCACTCTGCTCTCCAGTCGTGGCTCTCGACAAAGGAGAATAGACGCCTTGTTGTCAGTGAACAAGGTCGGTGCAGAGCTCGGCCGCTCACCAAGGTCGGTGAGCAAGAAGGTCAACCAACGCAGCTCCTGTGCCGCCATGGCACCAGCGTAGATCTCAGCCTCAGCTGTAGAGGTCGAGACCGAAGAGGAGCGCGTGGACCGCCAGGAAACAGCTCCAGAACCCAGGCTGAAACAGTACCCCTGAGTAGACCTGTGAGTCTCAGCGTCGTCAGCGTAAGAGGAGTCACAGTGACCAGTAAGTACGACAGACTGCTGCCCTCCAAGAACTAGCCCCACGCCTGACGTCGTCGCTAGGTACTTCGCCACCCTCACAGCTGCTGTCCAGTGAACAGGACGGTGTCTCCCTGGCGCAACAAAGCGCGCAAGAACGCTGAGAGGGAAGGCGAGGTCCGGGCGAGTACAAGTCATCAGGTACATGAGGCAACCCACAAGCTCTGCGTAGGGACCACTAGGCTCGAACGGCTCGTCAGGAAAGGGTCCAGTGAGTCTGTGGTCAACAGCAAGAGGTGTGCGCTGTACTGTGGAGTGCTGAAGCCCGAACCGCTGAAGGACCTGCTGCACCATGTGCGACTGTGAAAGTGTAATGGTGCGAGCAGCTCTGTCCCTGGTGATCTGCAGGCCAAGGTAGTGGCGCAGCTCACCAAGATCAGTGCAGGTGTGTCTCTTCTGCAGTTCGGACTTCACGTGTGCCAAAGCAACCCTGTCAGGGGTGTTGAAAACAAGGTCGTCAACGTAGACCAGAACAAAGAAAGGTGTGGTGCCACGACGAACGAACAGCGACGGGTCAGCAGAAGACGGCTGGAACCCAAGGTCAGACAGGGTAGAACGCAGAGTGTCGTGCCACTCACGAGGAGCCTGACGAAGACCGTAAACCGGTCGCCTCAGCCTCCACTGGGTCCCAGGAGGGAAAGAGCCAGTGAAGGCAGAGGGACGACGCAACCAGACCTCCTCGTGAAGACTGCCCTGAAGGAAAGCAGTAGAGAAGTCGAGAGAGTGTAACTCGTAGTCTCTCTGTGCTGCTACGTGTAGTAACACCCGAAGAGTGGTCATCTTCGGGGTGGGCGCGAAGGTCTGAAAGAAGTCAACTCCCTCGCGCTGACTGAAACCTCTAGCCACGTAGCGCGCCTTGAAGACCGGAGGAGATCCCGGTGGCCGCTTCACCCTGTAGATCCACATGCCGTCGACTACGTTCGCCCCCGGAGGGGGAACCTCATCGACGTAGGTGCCTGTGGATCTGTAGGAGGCCATCTCTGCGTCCATGGCAGCTCTCCACTGAGAGGCCCAAGGCCCTGACACTGCCTCAGCGTAAGTGCGAGGAGTCGGAATGTCAAGGGCGTCGGGGTCACCCTCAGGGGCGAGGAGCATGGCACAGAGATGAGGGGAAGCGGCCGCCAGGAACTCTAGCTCAAACTGCCTGTCCTCTAGGGCGTCACAGCCAAGGGCAGACACACCCCCGACGGCCAGAGGACTGGAAGGAGGAGCAGCCACAAGAGCGGTGGCGAAGTCAAGGCGGCGGGTAGAGGCAAACTCAGTGACTGCGGCAGTAAGAGCGGACACAGAGGACACAGAGGCACGAGGGTGAGTAACAAGTGAGGCGAGAACACGAGAGAGAAGAGGACGGTACGTGCGGTAGTAGTCAGTGACAGGAGTAGGGAGCGACGCAGTGAGAGCCGACTCAGGAGGAGACGGAAGCACAGACGGAGACGGACGAGGTGGACTAGAACGAAGTAAGGCAGTACGAAGGTCAGTGAAGGGAACAGGAGACGAGGGACGAGCACGAGGGGAGCGACGAGAGGCCCAAGTCTGAGAAGGAGGAGGGGACAACGAAGACTGAGAACGAGGGAAAACAGCGGGAGAGGGGTCAGGAGGAGGAAGCGGAGGACCAGAGACGGGAGGAGAGGGGGAGGAGGAAGGAGAGGGAGAGGGGAGACCAAGGGTCCGAAGACCCGAGACAGGAGGAGGAGACGGCAGCTGCTGCTGCTGCGGCTGCTGCGGCTGCTGCTGCTCCAGCGGCTGCTGCCCCTGCTGCTGCTCCTGCTGCTGCTCCTGCTGCTGTCGCTCCTGCTCCTCGAGCCGCTGCAACTCTCTCTCCTCTCTCTCCAACTCCAGCTGCTCCTCACGAGCACGACGAACACGAGCCTGGAACCTGGTCGGGTAGGGGTGGGGGGAAGGAGTAGTGTCCGGGGCAGCGGCAGCCCCAGAGTCGACCTCCGAAGCACCAAGCACACCACCCCCAGAGGCAGCACCAACACCAGCTCCAGACCCAGGCCCTCCAGAAACCGAAGGGACACCCTCACCCCCAGACGCAGCACCCCCAGACTCCGCACGACCAGTACCAGCCCCCGGAAGACAAGAGTCCTCTGCAACCCGCGGCTCAGCTCCAACTCCAGCACCCCCAGAACCAGAGACCTGTACAGGGACAGTCGCCGGACCAACCTCTCGAGAGGGAGCACCTGCAGGAGGCGGCGAGGAAGACTGTGGGGAGGGAGGCTGTACAGGGGGGGCTACCGAAGGGGGAGGGCTAGCCTGAGACACACCAGACGGGGCTGGACCAGGGGGGGGAGGCTGTACCGGGGGAGCAGGCGGGGGAGCGGCTGTCAGGAAGAGGGGGGGAGGAGGAACCGGGAGACCTCGACTGGGGTACCTGACGTAGTAGGGGGTGGACTCCTCGAAACGGACGTCACGGGAGTCAAAGAACCGGTGAGAGGGAGGGTGGTAAAAGGTGAAGTCAGAGGAGTCCTCAGGGAAACCAAGGAAGACACAAGGAACGGCGCGAGGCGAGAGCTTGTCCGCGGAGGTGTCGCGGACAAGAGCCAAGCACCCCCAGACACGAAACCTCGACGCGACACCAGGGGACCCTGTCCAAAGACTGGTCGGTGAAGCCTCCGGCCGAGAGACGCGTGGCCAGAGGTTCAGCTGGTGCGCGGCGTACCTGACTGCGTATGGCCACAGGAAATGGGGGGCACGGGCGTGAGTCAAGGAGGTGCGGGCAATCTCCATGACCAGGCCTATGCGACGCTCAGCAACCCCATTCTGCTGTGGGGACTCCGGAAGCGTCCAGGACTGACGAATGCCCTGTTCGCGACAGAATCCAGCGAGAATGCCGGAGCGAAACTCGCCCCCGCGGTCGGAGTGGAGACAGCTGACACGACGACCACGAGTGTCCTGGGTGGTAAGCAACCACCTGATCAGCGTAGAAGTCACCTCAGACTTCCTCGCCAGGGGGAACACTGTGGTGTAGCGGGAGTAGTCGTCAACGACCACCAAAAAGAAACGCTCACGCTCAGGGCCAGGGCGAGGAGAGGGGCCCCAGACGTCCAAGTGCAGCGTCTCAAAAGGCTCGGTGGCCGGACGAAGGGAGGAGGAGTGAGGGGTGGCACGCAGCCTACCCTCGACGCAAGGACCGCACGGTGGTGCAAGAGACGGCGGCAGCGACGGCAAGACACGCGGGAGACCTAAGACCAGACGCTGACTAGACATAGCACGCAGACGTGGAAGAGAAGGGTGTCCCATCCGGTGGTGCCACAGAACGGTGGGGTGGGCAAGCGACCGACAGGAGCAAGACGCAGCGACTGGACTGGACGCGACAACCTGAGGGGACGGAACCACCTGGTGAGACGCAGGGAGGAGACTAGGGGGAGGGACAGGAACTGGGAGGAGTGGCTGCTGCGACGGCGGCCGCTGTGGCTGCGGCTGCGGCTGCTGCCGCTGCTGCTGCTGCGGCTGCTGCTGCTGCTGCTGCTGCGGCTGCTGCTGCTGCTGCAGTTGCTGCTGAGCGCGCGGGCCAGTGTGAAGAGTGTAGAGACCGGAGCCCGGCTCAGCAGCAAAAGTGGCGAGGGGCTGGTAAGAGTCCCCGTCAACACACACCGCAGTCTCTCCAGAAGGCTCAAACCACACACCCACGTGCTGACTCACGAGGGGTCGCACACCCACCAAGTTCCGGGAGAACGAGGGGACGTGAAACCCAGTGAGAGACCCAGAAGGAGCAGCCGGACACGGCAAGGTGGTAGTGTGACGCGCAGTGACTGGTCCCGAAGTGGGATCAGCCAGCGCCACAGAAACAGGCGCAGGAAGAGGCGTAAGTGTCGTGCTGTCACGAA